GTGTTGGCACAAGCCTTTAATCCCAACACTAGGCAGACAGAGGCAGGTTGACCTCTTGGTTCAAGGCCAGCCTGGTCTACAGAGGGACAGGCTCCAAAGCTACACAGAGAAACCCTGTCTCGAAAAACAAAATAAATAAACAAGCAAGAAAGAAACAAAACAAAACAAAACAAAAAGGACAGTTTGAATCTACAAAATCCAGATTATGAAGTCTTGAATCTGAAGGTCTGCCTGGCACACGAGGCCTTTAGGACCATTAGCAGCACAGGAGGAAAAATCATGTCTGACTGTCCCACTTTTTTATAAAAATTATACTACCATAGGATATCACTGTACATGAAAGAATATTTTATTCAACAGGAGACAACAGGGTTGTGTGACTTCTGAAAATTCCTCAGTAAGAGAAGGGATCTTAGTTCCATGTTAATTAAATCATCAAATCCAAATTTTAACAGATGAGACAAAATTAAGTTAAGCCTCCCGTTCCTGAAAACATCATTCCAGTCCATTTCTGGGAAAGAATTATGTAGTAAGACCTGTTTGCTCCTGCTTTGCTCCAAGCACTGTCACTGACCCACAGCCCCAACCACTAAGCAGCATTTCTAATAGCTGTCAGACAACCACAGCATACAATCCATCCATCACCTACACAGAACCATGAAGATATCCTGCTGTGCCTATGATCTACGATGTTAACATGTTAACAACCAGAAATCACTATGTATGAAATGGTATCAGCAGGCTAATACACTTTTTAATCATTTCAAATAAGCATCTTTGTCAACTCATTGAACAAATACAAACACAATATAAGTGTGCTTTTAATGAGGAAGATTATAACGCCAAATTTTTAAAAAGTTACTTTGGATTCTCCATGTTGACTGGTAAAACTATAGGAGTACATGTGTTATATTACAGACTTATTCAGGACTTTATTCTGAACTTAGAAAAGACAAAATAGTATAAAGCTGGCAGTATGAGCCTCCTAATTCTCAATTTCAAGTCTGTATTTGAAATGGATTTATTTCATAAGAAAATGTTACAAATAATTAAATCTTACTCATGCAACCTTGAAAATAATACACAACCCTAAGAGGGTAGGTTGCTTGCTTTTGTTATTAACTAGAACTATAAGACAACTTTGACAGAAAAAAAAAAACATTAATGATAGCTCTACTTTATATATTAATGTAAAGGTATAGGTCTCCATGTTCACTTTAAAAGCTTAAAAGTTAACCTTTAAAGCTAAATTCAGTGCTAAGTAAATTCCAACACATCAAAAACTTATGCCAATCTGCAAATCAAAAACAGCAAGATCTGTAAGCCCTAGAATGAACAAAGTCCAGGAATCTCAAGGAAGACCCTGCTGACTTTCCAACCTGTACCACCCTGAAGACTTGCTGTTACAGAATCTCCTGAAATAATCATTCACTGGATCCACTGAAAACAAAAACAAAAACAAAAACAAAAAATTCTCTCCACTCTACTTCTTATATGAAACAGCAATCACTACAGTATCTTCCACTCTAGAGATAGAAGCCAGCCAGGGAGCACTGAAAATTATTAGGCTATTTTAGGGCTGAATACAGCAATTGATGCAGATGGAAAAGTGGCAATCAGACATTTCTATCACTTTTTCAGCCTTCTGACCTCACAGCAGTTACAAAGCCAAGGGACTAGAAAGAGCCTGTAAAATACTTAATTTAAAAAAAAAGAAAAAGTTTTCAGATAAATTACATAAAAACAGCAGCCTTTATAAACACACTATAAGTTTTAAGGTTTAAAAGTCAGTGGGTGCCGGAGTATAAAAAATAAAAGAAAACGGAACAAATGAATGTGTGGCTTTAACTGCAAAATAATAACAGGATGTAACAGAGTTCTGAGTATCCTAAGTGACCAATCAGAGCCTAAACATAGCTGAATTCCATCCCAGCCCCAGCACGTCCCTAACACAAGAATAAAACCCTTCTTATCTTGTTCAGCCATGTGTCGCCTGCCACAAACTGCAAAACAGAACAACGCCCAAAAACCAGCTAGTCTGACTTCAACTAGGGACAGACAGACTCTGTAGTCAGAAGCACCACAATGAAAGAACTGCAACTCATACAGCTGGCCTGGTGGCTCTGAACACTCTACAGAACAAAGCCATACCACATACAGTACTTCAAACTTGAAAGGGTCTCTGAACACTGGAGTCAGTGAGAGAAGATATACAGAAGGCTGAGGGGGGGGAGCTAGATTTTATATGAGGAACTTTGCTAAGGCACCCTGGCATACACTTATTACTAAACCAGTACTTCCAGATTTCACCTCAACATATATTCAAACCAGGAACTACTCTCTTAAAGAGAAAGGGCTGCTTTACATTTGCAGAATAAGTTTAGAAGAAAAAAAAAAAAGCAGTTATCACATATTAATTCTCTTTTTGAAGAAAGAAAAAAAAAGTCAACCCCCAGTGTCTGACCAAGAACAGGATTTCAATCAGTTTTGAAATAAACTTTCTATCATCTTATTTTACATGGCTCAGTTGTCTAAAGCAACCTAGTAAAGGTTTACACTGAGAAGATTTAGGCCTAAGCCCCACAAAGCATTAACATTATTTAGACTGCTTCCCTTCACCAGCATCAACTTTTTTTTCCACTGTGGTTTGATACAACAAGCCTTTAAGTATGTTGGGAAGCAGAAGCAAGCAGAACTCTGTGAGTTCAAGGCCAGCCTGGTCTACAGAGCAAGTTCCTTGACAGCCAGAGCTGCACAGAGACAACCTATCTAAGGTGGGGGAAAAAAACAGAAAAGAAAAAAAAAAAAAAAAAAAAAAAAAAAAAAAAAAGGATACAACACATGATTTCATAGAATGTGCATCCACTGTTCTCACACAAATATCTAAGAGCAAGAACCCTGCAGGAAGGTAGCCCATCTCTTCAGTCCCAGCTCTCTAGAAGCTGAGCAGGTGGACTGACTGACATACAGCAACAATCTGTCTCACAAAAACAAAACAAAAATTGGGCTAGGGAGATAGATGGCTCAGCAGTTAAGAGCAGAGGACCCAAGTCAGGTCTCCAGCATCCAGGGTAGACAGCTCCCAATCACCCAGGGAATCCTAAAGCCACTTCTAGTCTCTGAGGGCACCTGCACTCAAGTGTACATACCCATGAACACACACACATTGTAGAAGTAAAAATACAAAAATAAAACTTTTTAAAAACTGAATGTTTGGCCGGGCGATGGTGGTGCATGCCTTTAGTCCCAGCACTTGGGAGGCAGAGGCAGGTGGATCTCTGTGAGTTCGAGACCAGCCTGGTCTACAAGAGCTAGTTCCAGGACTGCCTCCAAAGCCACAGAGAAATCAGGTCTCGAAAAAACAAAGACAAAAACAAACAAACAAACAAACAAAAAAGACCAAATTGAATGTTTATTGTTCATATGCAGAATTAAGTATAAAAAAGATGACCCAATGTTTTATTTCCAAGATACCAAAAAGAGAACAAAAATCCCTGAGATGCAAAGCTGGTAAAAAAAAAAAAAGTACATGGGTGCTTCTGTGTGACTTTTGTATGCAATGATTCAGTGACTCTAAAGTATTTTTCTACAAATTAGACTCCGAAGCATCTTAATGAAAACCAGGACTACATCAGTAGAAAGGACAAGAACTGAATGAACCAGAAGAACAATTATATGGACACCTGTGAGTGATTTCTCAGAAACAAAACACTAAGAAAGGAGAAGGAATAAGGATGGGGAGGCAGGAAGACACAAAACAACTACCTCTACATATACGTAAAGTGTATTTGCAGGAAAACTGAAAACAAAATCCTGCCTAGCAAAGTACACAAACAAAGGGTAAACATAAGTAGTTTAAATATTTAAGGGCATCTTTTAGGTGAACGCTCATGTGACACTGAAAAGCATCAACAGGAAAAGGAAGTTCTGTCTCTGGAGGAGCTGTTATGGTATGATAATGGAATTTGGATCCTTTAAAAATCAACAGATGAGTCTCACAATTGGGTGAGACTCTCTTATTAGGAAATTAAACGGCTTTCTGCAGGAGCATTATAGACTTCTGGCCTTCTGCTTCAATTGTTTGTTTGTTTAATAACAATTTAAAGGCTAACTTAAAAAAAAACAGCAAGTTAAAATTTGGAAGTAACATACAATGTCATAATTAAATTGAGAAATAAAACATGTTGAAGGAACCAACTTGCTTTCACTGAAAAGTACTCAAAAGAACTCTTTAAGTGTCAGAGAATTACACTAGGGCCACATATTCTATACACAATGCCATGCAACCCTGATTAACAAACAAGATCCACCTGCCATGCCTAAACCAGACTTAGGGTTTACAGCTTTAAATTCGAGAGCATCTAGAAGATGAAATGCAAAAAAGAATAATTAGAAGCAGGCCCCATGGTTTTCCCTCATTTCCTTTAGCTCCTGGAAACTGTCCCCAGCAAGAGCCCGTGATTTACTGGTAGTGTCAACATTCTGGAAAATTAGGTAATTAATAATTAAACACTGTGCAGGTCACATAGAAAGAGATCAGATTCACAAATCACCATGAAGCAGGATGAAAAGTAAGTTCACAGACATAAACTCCTAAAATTAAGAGTCTAGAACTACCACGGGATAGGAATCAACCTGATGATGCACCAATACCCACCGACCTCGGGCTCTGACCTTCACCCAAAATGACCTTCCGCTGGTTCCAAAATGAGTACACAATCCTAATGTACCCGACAGAAAACCACAGCTATGGTTTTCCTTAATTTCCTCTGAGAATATGGGGAAAGTTTCTGCCCCCCCCAAAAAAAACAACTGCATTTCCAAATTCAATCAACCGGATAACTTGGCAGCAACCCTAGACTAATTGCACAGCTCCGAAACAACCTTCTTTCCTATGCCTGTCAATTGCACTAGCTGAAGGCAAGTCGGCAATCACCGACTCCCCTGCAGCGTGGGGCCAAAAACAGGGAAGGTTAGCGACCGAGGAACTTCATACCCACCTGTCCGTGATAGTTGACTGTGTGCCACTCATTGGGGCCCTTGGCGAGAGGTCTTCTTTTTATCCAACTTGCATTTTACAGTAACACCTCCACACCCCACCCCCAGTGCTCTGGGATCAGGCTCAATTTCGGCAGGGACACAAAAGTCCAACTCAAAACTCCATTCAGTCATCTAGAACATCCGATTGCAAGGGGTCAAGGAAAGGGGATGCGGGTTGAAGCAAAACAAGTTATCTCCCCAAACAAACCGAGCAAGTCGGCCACAGGCGAGTTCTAGAACTAGGAATGATCTTCAGCAAGGCACGAGGGGAAAAACTTCGTCAGAGGGAAGTCGCGAGGCTTGGGACGGGAACTCGGATCCCTCCGAGGCTATGGTAGGATCGGCTCGGGACGGGCGTCGCCTCCTGTCCCGAGTCGGCGGAGCCCGGCCCTCGG